TTTTTTTTTTTTTTTTTTTCGGTCCACGTTCGGCCCGAACGGCCGAACGCATCCCCAAGGGGTCCCATACGTTCCGGCGTTCGGGTTCGGGCGTTCGGCCCGTCCCGAACGCCGGTTACCCTGACATAAATAATAAAAGTAATAAATAAAGGTAATAAAAATTAATAGCACTTATATTTTTATATATATATATATTTTTTTAAACTACAATTTTTTATAATGCTGCTACGAATAAAATAAAAACATAACTCCCATTATACCCCTCTACAACCCACTGAGGCACAAATCCCCAACTCGGTGATAGAACAACACACCACCCCTCAATCCACCCAGCACAATCAATAAAACCACAGACTTATATCATTATATGCGATACGAGCAATACGACGCAGACCAATTATGGGATTAAAAAACTGCTCACGAAGCAGATACGTGATAAAGAAAACGTACTCACACTACTAAGAAAGCAATTTTTTTTTGCCGAATCGGCCCCCACATAACACAACATCGAAGCGACACGGCTGACAAACCAAACATGTACACAAAACACAACAAACAAAATACTGACGCTTCCTGCCTCCCCTTTGACCAACTCTTCTCCTAATGCGATGGTCTCCCACACATCGTAACAAGAATAAGACCCGCAAACTTGACACAACCACTGATATGCCCGCGTGAACATATCCCGCTCCGCTGGCAATTTCTCTACCCCCCTACTAGACAAGGATTGCCCATGCCATCACTATGGGGGCACCTATCACGACACCTCCACTATCGTCCCCGCACGCGCACGCACACGCACGCACACGCACACACACACACATACGGACACACGCAGCCACACAGGTAACACTCAAAATTATTTTTTTTTTATAAATAATAATAATAAATGAATAATAAATAAATAATCAAAATAAAAAATATAATTAATGCAAAATAAAAATAATAAATAATAAAAAATATTAATAATTGAAAAAATTAAACTAGTGACCAGTGAATAAATTATAACAGACACAAAAAAATATATTCCCTACCAATTAATAAATTTAATACTTAGTACCAGGAAAAAGGCATAACCCCCGCTTTACAACATTCTTGTCTTTCAGAATGCAAACCCCAAATACAGGAACAAAGCAGTACACCCCAAATCCTCGCAACACAAACAACTAACCACACACCTATACACTAGATAGACAACACCACGCACACCGGTTGGGGGATATGATACCTCGCGAAATGAATTTGAAAAAAAGAAAAACAAAGCGTACTCACTCCCAAAGAAAAACGCGCCAAACATTTTTTCAAATAAGACGCTAAGGTAACATACGAAACGACACCCACGCAGCACCACTTTGAAACGACACATCTGATTAAGCATAATACAAACAAGCACGCAAACACAAGCAGACAAACTTCGACTTTCCCTGCCCCCTCCATAGCCAAACCATCGCCGAAAAAAACGGCGATCTTATGCACATCAAGACAAACACATACCAGATGACCGATAGCACCACTTACATT